AAGATTCGATCGTTTCTTCTTTCGAAAATTATTTGAATTTTTCATAAGCCTCTTAAACTCTTTCTGAAAATTCTTTAAGACATCTAAACTTTTCGAAGCGTTCTCAAAGATCTGTGAAACTGTCTGAAAGACAATATAAGACTTGCGGAATTCTTTGATTTATTGAAGATATTGAAATCTTTTTTTTAATTCCTTTTTTTTAAAGATATCAAAAATATGAGAAGAAATATTTATAGAATGCCACGTTCTTTTTCATTTTATGATTAGAAAATTCTATGAATTTATTTCTATGTACAGAGTAAGTCAACAAAAACTTTTTATTCCGTTTTTTAATTTGTTCGAAATATACTGAAAAATACATTAACTTTGTTTTCAAAAGGAATATATAACTGTAATGTATCAAACTGTCTGATTTTATTCTCTTGATTAGAATATCTACCAACAAATTTTGAGTGACAACATTTAAGTGTCACATCATTTTAATTCTGCATCAAATTACACATTGGAGACTGGAAATTGCGAATTGAAGATTAAAAGTTGACAAGATAATTTGAATTTTAATCGTTTCGTTCTGACTGATCGAATTCGCAATTCTCCATTTCTAGTGTATAATTTGATATAGGCTCAAAAGGTTTTTTAAATCTCTTTACAAAATGTGTTTTGTTCTTAAAATTTAGATGAATGTTTTTTGAGAAATCATATTTGGAAGTTTTAGGTACTAAAAGCTGAAAATTCGCAATTTACAGAAAAATTATTTATTTCGCTAAATGTTTAAAATGTTTTCCACCAACCTTCATGTAATAAAAATTCAGCTTAAAGTTGTTGCGGACATTTCCAGCGTAATTTCATGGCACTCTATCTCTTGACATAGATTTTGTGTTCAGCGTTGCGACACAAATTTTATTTTTCAAATAGATATCTTTAAAGAAAAAAAATTAATAGAGAAAAATCAGATGACTGTGTAAGCTCAACTGAATCTTCTTCAGCAGACAGTAGATAAGTGCCATAGAATAACACCAGAAATATTTCAAAATATCTGCAATAAATTTAAATGCAGACTTATTTATAAAACTTTGTAGAAAATAATTTAAGGTAGTTTGACCTTTCATAAAAATAAATTTCGAACATTTATTAAAATTACATTTTTCCGTAAGTTGCTAATTTTTATTTTATAACGTCTATATTTATAACATTCAAATATATGATTTCTGGAAAAAATACTCGCTTAATTAAAGAAACAAAATAACAGTTGTACAAAGAATGATAAAACCTTTAAAACGATGTGTTATTTGATTCCAATTGTCATTTAAAATTTTTTAAAGATCTATCCTGATTACACAAGTGGATAAAATAGTATGATTGAATTTATCATAATTATACATTCTCTTTGAAAAATTGACGTGTTTTAATATATTTCGCACAAATATACAGTTGATTATAAAAAAAATAATGAAAGTTTTCATTACCTCCATACAGAAGATAATAGTAACAATAAAACATTGCTTATTTATAATGTCTCCGTTCAAATAAATTTGACATTAATTTGACTGAAAATTATCTGCTAGTACCTATTAAAGCAAATCAAGAAACTGTCGAACCTTTTCCTTCTCTCTGTGATAATTAGTCTTCATGAAGCGGAGGATACCATTTCCCCTGGTGGCCCTTCAATTACCAGCCGCATCGCGCCGATTAATTTAGCCCTTGGCGTTCAGGAATGTTCGCGTAAACATCGGCTGGGCGAACGCTCGCACATATACACAGAAGACATGTCGTTGCCGACTAAGGAGAATTTTCGTTAATCAAGCCACATCAATGGCTGCCCTGGCCGCAACGTTATCGATAGAGTCTCAATAACTAAATTATTGTTGCTCTATCTACGCGATGCACGGATGGGGGAAACATAGGTAGAAGCAAAAGAGAGAACCAGAGAGAAAGAGGGGCGGAAGAGAGGAAGGAAAATGGAGGGAGAAAGACAGAGATCATTTCGGAGCCTTGGCACGTCATACAGGACACGTTCCTTTGTGCCAGGGCGAACTGTGCATGAGTGTGTACGACGCGATACTGCTTCAGATACTACTACCGTGCCACTTCTCTATAATACTCGTCGCTACGATGGCGGAATATCGAAGATCGACTAAAGTATCTTCGTGTTTTGTAGCTTTACCTTGGATCTAAAATGTCATTTTCAAGCGAAATTGGGAGTCTTATTAAACCACGATCTAACATAAATTGAATACGATTTAGACTGACGCTCTATCAAACTACTAATAGGACCTAGTAATAAAAAAAAGACATGTATATACATTCTTCGCTTCAATGGGAACTTCTTGACTCAAAATAATATCTATTTGTAATTGATTCTTCTGACATAATTTTAATTTTAGATTACTATAAAGCATAAGTCTTTTTATTACTGTAGGCTTTCAAAAAATTCAGGGTTTCTTCCAACATCTCTATTACGAAATATTTTTTTAACTTAAATGTTAAAACCTTCATTTAATAAAAATTTTAATTTAATCCATAACGACGGTAAATAAAATGCCAAAAAGGACTCAGATTGAGGATGACTTTCATTAAAACTTATCTTTTACATATGTTCTGCCATGTACCTTCAAAAATCCTTAGATTTAAGTATGAAGAATATGATGTGAGTGATTAAATTTACACTGTTCTCGAAACAGAACAACAAACTGTAACATTTCGAGATCGATTCTTGCGAACTCCGGCGCAGAAGTAATCGAATCATTCTAACTTGTGCGAGACCGTCTAACTTTGTTTGATTCATATTAAAACGCAGACTTTTTTTTTTTTTTTTTTTTAAGTAAAAACTTCAAACTCGATTAATATTCGATCTGACAAAAATGTTAATTCAATTTTACGAGTGTCCGAATGTTGATCGTCATATTTACATATTTCCAGAAATCTCGGACGACATCTTGAATTTCTGTTATTGCTAATCTTTGTCTCTAAGGATTCCCGCGGATCCACGGAATATCTCGAGAATTTCTAAAACTCACCACCGAAATAGCGCAATTGCCCTTTGATTAAATGTGCATCCTTGCGGTTGACGCGGCTGAATTCCTGTTTAAATAATTTAGGTAGCGCAGAGGTTCATATGTTCTGAATTACTTGACCAGTCAATATAATTTTTCGCGCTGCTTGTTTGTCTATCAATTTTATCCATCGCTCCATTCTCTCCTTCTTCTCACTAGGCCCTTCTTTTACTAATCAGTATTTCAAAATTGATACTCAAAATCAACGGCAAATATTTGCAAATTGTATTAATTGTTCCCAGATTTTGTTTAAAATAGTTATAACACAATGAACGTTAATGTAATAAAAATAATAATATAATGCGTGATGTTTTGCATCGCTTACACGATATGTATATAAAATATTTATGTCATCTCTACATCATAGGATTTAAAATCAAATCAAAGGATCGTGTACATTTAAATCTTTAAAATTGAAACTCTCTCAAACGTTCGAATATAAACAGTCTTTTTTCCGTGAGAGAGATCAGACTGTTGATTGCGAGATGAAAAGTACACATTCGTTTATTGGCCTCTGACACACGTGGATCGTATATAATTGTAACGCACTAAATAAAGATCATGACTCTTTAATGTCATCCAAATCCATGATTAACGCAGAGTCAAACTTAACCGATACAATACCAAAGTTATTTGCAATACGAATTAATACAAAGATTATTACATACAGTATCTCTGTAGATACACACGATACATGAAAGCAATTCAACAAGAAAAAAATGTTAATGCCTGCATTCAACAGCTTTGCTAAAATATCTACAAATGTCCCATTTTGCAATTAATTATTAAGATAACGAGATACTTGAAATATTTAATATTGCAGTGCAAAAGAGGCTAATGTGTGTTCTGTATGACGTGCTCAAGTTTAAGAAAAATAAAACTTCATACAAAAACAACTAATAACATTCTATCATGTCCTTTATGCCAAACAGAATTTTTAAAAGTTTAAAAGCATCTTTCAGATGCAGCGCTATTAAAGCAAGGAATAATAAGTATTTTATCTGTTATACTTAATACTACTTCTCGTTTAATTTTAAGCATAAACCATATCTTTTCTCTTGTATTTTTGTAAATATTTGTATTTTTATCTATGTAATTTCAAATTTATTTTATTTTAAATCATGTTTATTTAATGTTACTTTATTATATTTTGTTATTATCTTTATCTTATTTCTTATTCTAATTGAATTTTCTTTTTATTTTTCTGTCCCGTATATTATGCTTTACATGCATCGATCAGTTTCCTATTGACACTTATATTGACTTTTACTTGTTATAAAAGTAATAATAATTTTAACGCTTGAAGAGAAATCCTAGAGCGCTCAAATAAATACAATTTCTATTTATCTTTCTCCTTTTCTTCTCTCTTTCTCTCTCTCTCTCTCTCTCTCTCTCTCTCTCTCTCTCTCTCTCTCTCCCTTTCTCTTTTCTTTCTTTTACTTTTATCTTGTCTTATTCTTATTTCTTTTAAAAAAAATTCTATTCTATTATTAATAAGTTTTATTTTACGCCCATTACTCTGTCTCGACGTCGCGGATTTCAGACGCGGAATTTCCTGATTGACTGTGATTCGATCGTGCGTTCGATTACCGAACGTAATTAGTTTGCGCTGTAAGCAAAATAGGACGCTGCCGTCTCCGTTGCGCTGAAACGAGTTCACCCTTTACGCCGGACCACCCTTCCATGTTTGCGACGCAAATTTTCCCTGTGCGTGCAAAAGGCAGCTACCGCATCGCTAATTAGGAGATTCGCTTGCTGCTCGGGCGGCACTCCATTCCAGTGGGAAAAGAGGAAGAGTGGGAAGGTTACCGACCCAGGATAATTAAATTCAGACCCTTTAAGAAGCCGTCTTGACAGTTTGCAGGGTGCAGGGCGTATTCGTCTCCCTTTTAATAGTTAACAATGGCGTGATTATAAGAATGAACAGGGCAAGCAGAACAGTCTTACCGTATTTTTGAGACGACCGTGGGCGTGAATTCTAATTGAGGGAAGCCCAACTCCTTCGGCTTCACGTCTTCCAGGCTGCTGTACCTCACGTAACTACAAGGCGGCGGTAACGGAAAGGCTGAAACAGAGGATATAAGATATTAAGTAGACAACTCGATAAGAAAAACGTCGGAGTTTATTTTACTACGAGAATAATTAATTTCAATAAAGAAAAAAAAATCCTGCATTAATAGTTTGAAAGATGTTGCTTTGGTTTTAAAAAATTGATAACTGCTACAAATATATATATATATATATATTTGTAGTAATCAATTTTTAAAAACATTTTTAAAAAATGTTAAAAACAGAGAAAATGGAATTTATGAATTAATATTATAAAAAATATTTGTATATTTAGTT